TCTCCAACACCCTCCCTCAAAACAGGAGATGCAGCCCCCCCCCCCCCGATGAGTATGCAAATCTTGCCTGGGCTCAGCTGCTGCTTGGGGTTGGCAGAAAGTGGGGTGGGGGGCTCCTGCTGGCTCCCCAGTCGCACCTTCCTGTACTGGTTGGGTGCTGTGGAAGCAGGTGCAACTTCTGTGGGGAGGGAGGGGGGGCTGGGTTGGGTGCATGAAAGGAACCCCTTGAGAATCCCCTTCCCCTTAAAAAACTTGGGTCGCCCGGGGAGGCTCTGCTCTCGCCAGGAGCCAATGCAGAAAAGGCCCGTAATTGTGGTGACCCCCCCCGCCTCCCCCCGCGCCCCCCGCAAGAGGCCTCCTTCCATTCTGGGTCATTGTGCTCCTCTTCGGGCAGGCTGGCTTTTCGGGTGGGGATTCTGTTGGAAGCTGACACCCCCACAGCTGGCAGGTGGGCATCTCCGAGGCAGGGGAAGAAGGGCCTGGCCTGGCACAACCCTTTCCAGCTGCCTCACTTTGCTCGCCCCGCAAAAGCCCCTTGCGGCATCTGCTACATGAAGTGGTACTTTGTTCCCAGGGCAAATGTGATCTGTGGCTTGGCTGGATCTTCCCATGCGTGGCAGCTCCCAGCCAGGAGCACCGAAGAAGCCTTCCCAGCTGGGAGGCCTTATTCCAGCCCCTCTTTGGGGGAGACGGGGCACTTCTGTGGGTGGGCAGAGCAAGACGCAGCGGGACAGTCCCCACTGGGGCTTGCGGGAAGCAGAGGCCTGTTCTGGATTCAAGACCTGGAGGAGATGATGGGGGGGGGCGGTTCTGAGGGGGTCTGTTTGGCTCGTAACCAAAGGCTTGGATGCCACCAGGGGTCCCATCTCAGCTGGACCAAAAAGCGCCAGGCAGGAAAGAAGGCGGTGCTGGTTGCGTTGGCTTTTGAGGAAGAGGGGAAGATGATCGGGTGGCCTTGGTACATTTGAGGTGGGGGTCCTTCTGGAACCCCCCGGAGTTTGGGTGGGGGGTTTCAAGCGGAGCCCAGCCCGACAGGCAAAGATCTACTGGGCAGCCCCACCGCCGTGGGGGCAGTGAGGGATTTGACCTCTGACCTTCCAGGCCCAAAGGGGGCTGCCTCTCCGTCCCTCTGGGTCTTTCAGAGTGCCAAGCGCCCAGGTGGGAAACGAGTGTTTTCAAAGAATCACAAACCACGAATTGATGGTTGGTTGTGGCTCTTTTGTGCCTGCACAGGCCAGGTGTGCGCAGTTTGCACTTCCTGTTGTGCGTCTTCTGGGGTTTAAACTTTTCTTCCCGGGGAGGAGAAAAGGGATGGGGGCCTCTCGGGGGGCCTCTCTGTCCTCCCGGGAATCATAGAGTCCGGAGGGACTTAAGACACCCTCCAGGCCAGTCTCCTCTTACTTCTTTTGCTAACTCTCAGTATCGTCTTGGATTTATGGACTGGCACTTTAATTGTTCCTTTTGGTTTTTTAAAATTTTGCTGTTCGTTGGCCAAGGAAATATTGATTGATTGATTGATTGATCGATTGAAGGGACTTAAGAAGTGATGAAGTCTAAACCCTTTCATTTGACCATCTCTGATAGATTATTAAACCCTTCGGTCCTTTTTTCATTTGCTTGCAGGCGTCTTTTGGCATTTCCGAATGCATTCGTTGCACTGGACTGACCTTGGCCGACCTCCAAAGAATTGACTGGGGTTTAAGACCTGCACGAGAGAAAAATCTCAGGCTGAGAAGTCAACACGAAGCTCGGGAAGGAAACCAGGTCAGGCCTGGCTTGATGGAGGTTTGGCCAAGGGTGGAGCTGGGGGGCTTTTTTCCAGGCAGGGGGCCCAGAAATTCTCCTCTCCTGTTCCCCTCCCCTCTCCCCCCCCCACAGTCGCCTTCTGAAAAGGACAGGTGGGGCGTTGGGAGGTTGTCCTGCAGCACGGCTGCACAGAAATAATAATCTGTGCACGCAAGTCGGGTCATGGCGGAGAGGCTGCCTTCCTTGGCCTTGGCGGGCACTTCCTCCGCTGCCGCTCTGCCAATCACCCAGAGCAGCCCTCCGGAGAAGGGGAGGCCAGGGGGAAATCATCGCATTTCTAGGGAGAATCGGAAGGCAAAACAACCTCCTGTCGAGAAGTAGCAATTGGGGTGGGGTGCCGCCCCCCCCCCCAACGCTTCCTTTCCACTTCCCGGGGTGTCAGGAACCTGCAGGAACCGAGATTGTCAGAGGGAGAAAGGGGGGTGAACTGCACCCATGGTGTTTTTCCTGGTGTGTGTGTGGGGGGGGGGGGGGG